CCCCACACACACACACACAGAGACTGAACCACTCACACTGACTCACACTTACCAACAGCTGTCTGGATGCCTCTGTGCAGAGCTGAGCTTCTTTACCCTGTCTCTCCCATGCGCTGCTCTCTATGGCCTAGGAGGAAGTCCTCCCAGCACAGTGCCCCCTTTGGCCGCATGGGAAAAGGGTGGAACACAATTTCACAGTGACAGTGCAGCTGCAGCTTGTGAAGGAAGACTCCCGGAGTCCTCCCGACTTAAATTTTAATTGGCCCCCTCTGCCCTCCCCCCCACATTACACATTACATCACACATTTATTCACTGGTATGTACACATCATATGGTTATATGGTATGATGCAATGATGATTTTAAGGAGGTTTTCTGGGGTTTAATGTGTGCATTGATACCAGCTTATTTTATATAAATTTTGATCATTTTAAAAGCATCACTATTACATAATGCATGGTCTGGGTGTGATCGTGTTTTCTCTTTATTTTAGTACATATAGCCCCATGGCTTAAACTGGGTTTACTGGTGTTTATTTAATTTGCATCATATTATTCTTCTAAAGCAATCCCTGCTGGATCTACATGCATACATTAGAGGGGGTCTGCATAGAATCTAAGATGTGTATCTATCAGTTTACTTAGTGAATATCTACTTTGGCAAGTTTTCAAAAGACAAAAATACAAAATAATGTTATATATAGCAACACTCTTTTAAACCACTAGAGGTCACTATTGGCACAAATATGGGTGATCTACACACGCTCAATCTCAAAATGCAGGTGTAATTTGTTTCCACATTGGTATATTTATTGTAAAACCCACATCAAATCCATAAATTTGTATCATGTTATCTTTTTCAAATACTTACAGAAAACATCATCTAATGGATTATCACCATCACCCAAATATTTGATAGTAATCTACGGGCATCCTAAATATGTATGACTTTGTATTATTTTTCCATACAGATTATAAATGTAATCTTGTCAGTTAGTTATTAGTCTCTTAATGACCTTAGAATGTTGCATGCCATCCTAACAATAGTGGGCTTTAACTCTGTCTGGACAACATGGAATGTCCTAACCTTCTAATTTGAGTAGGGTTAAATGCAGGGCTCGAGTCCTGCAGGAACGCATGGGAACGGCGTTCCTGCACTTTTTCCATAGCAGGAACGCCGTTACCTGTCCTGCAGGACCGGCCCTGGTCCCTGCACTGAGGGGCCGTCACATGCTGTGTTCATTCTACAGTTATAACTCTCGCGAGACCCGCGGCTGTTACCATGGCAACGCTCCGCACAGGCGAGTCTTGCGAGAGTTAGAGCTGGAGAGGGAACACTGCGTGTGATGGCCCCTCCAGCATACCACCGGACCACCAGGCGATCTCCCCCCTCCCTGACAAGGTAAGAAGCAGGGAGGGGGGAATAAAATAAAAAAAAATATAAAGTTAAAAAAAATCCGCCCCCCCCCACACACACACACATCATCCAGCACTCACACACCCATCATCCAGCACTCACACACCCATCATCCAGCACACACACACACATCCACATCATCCAACACTCACTCACACATCATCCAGCACTCACACACACATCATCCAGCACTCACACACACATCATCCAGCACTCACACACCCATCATCCAGCACACACACACACATCCACATCATCCAACACTCACTCACACATCATCCAGCACTCACACACACATCATCCAGCACTCACACACACATCATCCAGCACTCACACATCCAGCACTCCACTCACACATCATCCAGCACTCCACACACATCATCCAGCACACACACACCCATCATCCAGCACACACACACCCATCATCCAGCACTCACACATCATCCAGCACCCACCACACATCATCCAGCACCACACACATCATCCAGCACTCACACAAACACCCATCATCCAGCACACACACACACATCATCCCACACACACACACATCATCCCACACACACACACATCATCCCACACACACACACCAATCATCCAGCACTCACACACCCATCATCCAGCACTCACACAAACACCCATCATCCAGCACTCACACAAACACCCATCATCCAGCACTCACACACACATCATCCAGCACTCACACACACATAATCCAGCACACACACACACATCATCCAGCACACACACACACATCATCCAGCACGCACACACACATCATCCAGCACACGCACATATCATCCAGCCAAGCACCACATACACTGCATTCATTATACACTCTTCACTACTACAAACACACTACATTCACTATACACCCTCTGCATTCACTATACACACTCTGCATTTATTATGCACATTCTGCACTCACTACACACTACATTCACTATACACACTCTGCATTCACTACAAACACACTGCATTCTGTGTACACACTCTGCACTCACTAAAACACACTGCATTCATTATACACACTCTGCATTCACTACAAACACACTACATTCATTATACACACCCTGCACTGCACTATATGCATAGGAGTGTAATTTTTTTTTTTTTTTAAAGGGGGGGGGCGGGGCGGGAATCTTGGGTGAGTTCCCACACTTTTTTCCTCAGGACTTGACCCCTGGTTAAATGCCAGTACAAACCAGGGAGACCCAGGTATCAGTAGAAAGATGGTGTTCCCCTCTGTCAGCTAGTGCCATATTTAGTTGCCCCAGACTGATAGATGAGCTGTGTGCAGTGCTCAAAGTAAGCCCCTGTTACAGCCCTTTAAAACCATTCTGAGCCTGCCCAGAGGTGAGACCATCAGAAAGGGAGACCACCAGCATACAGATTAAGGAATATCACACACACAAAAAAGTGTCTGTTTTAAATTTTACAAGGCTATTTAAAATTCTCATCTCAGCAAATAAATATTGGTATTCATTTACACCATATGGCCATATTTTGTTAAGTCCACCACTATGTAATAATACCCCAATTTCGATGTGTCCTATTAACATGCTAGCTGCAATACTTACTGCTTGTATACTAAAACCAGTACACTGAGAGTGAAAAGTTGTGTTGTTTGTGTGTGTGTAAAATGGAAACATTTTCTATCTCAAGCTTTTAATGTTTTATTAATTAACATTAATAAATTATAGTTCAATAAAACAATTAGCAGTATCACCACAGAAATGCGTCCAAGTATGTTTTTCAAGAAGTAGGCTGTAAGGTAAGACAGGTTCCTCAAAAGATGACGATGAGACCACCAATGACCTTCTCCTCTTCACTGTCTGCAGCTGCAGGCAGCACCAGCACAGAAGTCATCAGACAACCTGAAATGTCTTGCCCACTATCTAAGAGAATGCCTGTATTATATTCCAAACTTCAAAGGCTTTAGATTACAATCCCGATTAAATCGAGGAGCAGCAGCAAGAGTCTATTGTGCCATCTACATCTCATAAAAAAGAAAAAGAGAAGAGTGGTGGTAGAGGTAGTACTACTGTCAAATTACCTCCTGGTGGTACCTTACGCTCCTGGCAGTGCCACGTAATACCGGTACTTCTGCTTTCACCCTATGATGTTGTGAAACCTTGTTCTGATGTCATTTGTGACACAGAACACTCATATTCTGCCCCTTTATATATTTAAAGTTACATGGCGAATTTCAATGACATACTTTCTCTATATGAGATCACACAGGCTTGCAACCAATCACTACACGGTATAGGGTATTTAACTTTATGATTGTTCCTATTTCCTTGCCCTGTTGTGGTTTCTGTTCACCCGAGAGTGTATTATGTTATAGTACTTATTCTGTTTTTTTTTTTGGTTTTTTTAAAACTTTGCTTGTTTGCCTATTCTTGCTCTCTGTAACTCTGACCTATGGCTAATTTCTTGATTCTGTGTACCCGGACCTCAGCTTATTTACATTTATTCTGTGTTTGCTTGCAGATGATCTGACTTATTTCTCAGTGCTAGCCCGGCCACTCTAAGGACCAGTACGCATATCTTCCTTGTTTCAACCTAGGTTTGTGTGTTAGGGACAGGTCAGTCCTGAAAACTACTAGTTTGAAAGGGGCAAGAGTTACACCCACGGGAGGGAGCATTAAAATCAAGCATGTTTGCCAGAGCATAGCCTTTGCCAAGATGTAACATGTTAGAACAACATCTTGAAACATGACGGAGCGTATCTTTGAGCAGCAGAGAGAAATACGTTCCTTGTCATCAGTCATTCGCATAGGAATTACATGCCCACTGTGGAGAGAGGAATGGGGAGCTATAGGTCAGAAAATGACAGTCCTTAAGTCCTTATAGTGACAGACAATTTAAGTGAAGTCACATCAAGCAAAATAGAAGGAATTCTAGAGAGCCGTGAGATTGAACCTGGAAAAAGGCTGCATCCAGAAGTCGGATAAACTGATACAACAACCAGGATACAGCTGTATACATAAAATGATACAATTAACATAACATAGTGTGATACTGTTAACAAGCATTAATATTGTGGCAAATTGATTGCATTCACAGACATATGTGAACTTTGAGCATTACAATTTGCTTTGCCTGTCCAAGACAGGGGCTTGGAGATTTTGCTTCCTCCCTCTCTTTTCAAATCGAAGTCAGGAAACCAGCAGGTCAGTAGGTAGTAAAAATAATTTATTGCGATATTTCAAAATAATGTTAAAAAAATCTCAGGTCCTACGCATTTCATTCCTAGTGGGAACTTCCTCAGGGACAAAATGCACGTCTCCTTAAAATAAACTCGCTCTTTTGTTTATTATGAATCCCTATGCTTTCTTTCACGTTAGAGCAGGGGTCCCCAATCCCCGGGCCGCGGACTGGCGCTAGTCCGCAAGAATTTATTGCCGATCCGCGAAAGCTCTCATCCGACTATACCGTTGGGTGAATGTTTTTGCGGACCAGCAATAAATTGACGCAAGACATTTCCCCGGTGCTATGATCTTATGATCTTATGATCATAGCACCGGGAAATGTGCTTCCCTCTCCCCTGCCCACTGTGCAGAAATCTCTATCTCTGGCCCGCTCACAGTGTACTGCTGGCAGTCGGCAGGGCACGAAGGGAGAGAGGACCCAGGGGAGCTCTAACCTGCAGCACCGTCGGGTTCGCCTCTTGCGAGCTCGGAGCGTTGCCATGGTTACCAAGGCAACGCTCTGAATCTGCAGCAGCTCCTGAGGCCTCTGGAATTCACTCTCACCACTGGAACCACCAGGACTGCAGGAGATGTCCCTCCTTCCAGGAAAAGGTAAGCAGGGTGGGGGAATATCAAAATATTAATTTTTTTTAAATTTAAAATAAAAAATATATATATTTACTAATATAGCCTCTAATACCACACACCCACAATTATTCTCCCCTATACACACAATGCCCCCCCACACACACACAAACTGCATCCCTCACACATACCATTGGGTTTTATTTCTGGCTGATGCCGGTCCGCAAAATATTTCTCCTCTTTTCACCAGTCCCCAGGTGCTAAAAGGTTAGAGAACACCACGTTAGAGTAATAGATTTAGTTTGCAAAACACTATGTTGGCGGGATGCGCTATTGGGCTATTTATTTTCCCTTCAATCTCTCTATTTTTCTTTCATTTTCTTGCTTTATCCATCCCACAGCATCCTATTTTTCTCTGACTCTTCTCATTACCCACTTTACTAGTTTCAACCCTCATTGTAGTCTGTCATTGTTCTTGGCTGTAGGAGTGTAGCTTCCTTGGTGTCTAAGTGGAGTGGGTTGCAACAGCTTGAGGGCCTCCTCTGCTTTCTGGGTGGACTCAGGATTTCTAGCAACACAAGGAGCAGATGTGACAAATGACATCCACCCAGCCTAGCAAGCAGTACATGCAAACTGTTTAGGTCTTCTTCCTTGTGCTGCATCACAGAGTTCCGGACAGATTAGTAGAGATATAGAACTTTAAATCTTTCCAGCTTCCCTCAGACATTATCCCAATGGGTTGCAGGCCAGTAGACAATTAGCTTCCAATAGGGAACTGCTGTCCCCAACCTGGACACCACTAATCTATATTCTCTTTTGTTTTGCTATAGCTGCCAGGACATAGACCAATGTACCTGTAACGTTTGATTTGCATCTTGATTATTACATTGAAACATAGGCACCACATGAAAAAATATCTTTCATCTCTTTCTATACTCCTCCTTGTCCTGAACAGCTTGTTTACCTGAGTGTATTTATTCCATTGGTACTGTGCATTCCAATGATTGCTGTGTAAGACCTGATGGATTTTATTTTCTCACGATACCTCTTAACCTACCATTTGAAACAGTTTTATTGATTCCTACCACCTTACCAAAATCTAATTATGTTTACTCATTTTGCTGTTTGCTGCAGGCTCACAACATTGCATTTCTCTGTAGATTTTGCTTGCTGCCTCAAGTCCACACTAAAAATCCCGTCAGGGTTTGTGATATAATTAGTTGCCTTAGGAGCCATTTCAATGACGCATATTTCTTTTTGTTTTGTCCCATTAAAACTGAGGAAAAGCAGTGTTACCTACAAATAATGTTATTTGAGAACACTAAATAAATATAATGTTTTCGATGACATGGGTAGATATCTATGAAAAAAATCCCAAGAGTGAGGGGTGTGTAGAGAGAAGGACAGAAGTCTAACTCTCACAGCACCCTCAACTCTGGGTGTGCCCACTGTGGGGGTATATAGAATCCCCTAGTGTACTAGAATAAAATAAATGAAAATAAAAAATACTTTATTGAAAAACTGTATAGAGACTAAATAGAGCTGTATAAATTCCAGGGTAGGGGGATGGCTCAACGTCCGTGAGGCTATAATAGTACAGTCGGAGGCCAACCAATAGATACACAGATCTATGGCAATGCTGTAAAACAGAAGGTGCCCAGGAACATGTATACTAGGTGAAGTATGTCTGTAAAACAGAAGGTGCCCAGGAACATGTATATTAGGCAAAGTATGTCGTTAGTAGGATATCTATATATTCCAGGAACGTCCTTTGTAAGCCAAAGTGTCCGCCTAGGGTATAGACAAACTGCTATTATGGGAATACTACCCAATGAGTAAGGTGTAATTCCCTGAAGTTTGAAACTAGCTGAAAGCCCATTACATGGATGGTAAGTAAATAGGGCACAGCAGATGCTGACTATATTAGTGAGATGACCTGGGAACAAACAATACACTAAAAATAGAGGAAAATTAAAGATAAATTCCTCTTGTGTATAAAGATACTCAGGTCACTCAATTCCT